CGGGACGGGACGCACCTCGCACACGTAGGGCCGCTCGCCGGTGTGGATGCGCACGTGCTTCTTGTAGTGCTCAGGGTACACGAAGGAAGCGCCGCACGTGTCGCACTTCAGCGGGCGCTCGCCAGTGTGCGAAGCCTTGATGTGGTACTCCAGCAACCTGGCGCAATCGAGCAACAAAGTGTTTTTTTTTATTGCTCTTGTAGGCAAACGACATACGGCCCACCTGATGGTGAGTGGTTACCGTCGCCCGTGGACTTCAGCAATGCCAGGGGCAAAGCCAAACCGCTGCCTACCGCTTAATACTGTCCGGACGTTACAACGACTCCGATGCGGACGTTACAAGAGGGAGCATGTCTCGCTGTTTGTCCGCGATGAACTACACGACTAATGTAGCGATTGGAGTAAAACTTCGCGCATTGTGTGCACGTATGTTCAATTTGAGTAATAGGACAGTATTTATCTCAATTTAAAATCATTGATTGAAAATTATTTGTATATATTGTAATGGTTTTAATTGACTAAAATTCACGGGTATACTAGCATACCTATAGGCGTGATCCTCAATAATGAGGGAACAACAATGAATGAAAAAATATCCACTGGTGGTAGGACATCAGGTGAGTCCACACGAGTAGATACCACCACCCTGCCTATTTCGGCCGTGAAGCCGTTGTAACTACACTGAGACTTTCGAACTCATATCTCACAGGGTAAGTGGCGGTATTTACGCTGTTGATGTCTATGGGCTCCAGTAAACTGTGGGCTGTGAGATCTAAGCTTGCATTACTGAAGTAGTAGTACCTCCTCCGCTTGAACCGCTTGGGACAGTGCGCGCAGTGGTGGCGGCGCTCGTTGAGGTGCGTGGCGCGGCGGTGCGAGTCCAGGTTGGAGCGCTGCGAGAACGCCGCGCCGCACGTGTCGCACGAGAACGGACGCTCGCCTGCAGCGGTCCACGGGCACTCCGTCAGCGAGCGCAACTCAATACACACACTCGTTTAACGACAAAGTTTGTCACACAATGTGACTTGCGACGAGTCGTCCTGAGCCCCGGTGAGGATGGTTTGTGGATTAGCAAAAATTAACAACAGGTATCGTTCCACAAGGTAAGATAAGGTTGACAGGGACTAAGTACAGAACTCGGCTGGAAAACCACCCAAATACTTTAGCTAATGCGTTGACAAAAGTCAGTTACATCAAACGACTGAAACGTCATGATATACAGGGAGTTGGTGACAGATGGTGATCAATGAGGAGTCTCCTGGTGAGGAGCCTCTTCGACGCGATGGCACACGCAACGCATCTGCTAATAGTCCAGGGCTGATCGCAGATAGGCACAAACAAAAAGGAATCCTTCCGTTAGTATGCGTATTCGTCGGTACCTGGTCCGCACTAGTACACATAGACAGTGCCTAGTCCGCAATAGTACGCGTACTCGTCAGTATCTAGTATATATACTCGTCGGTACCTAGTCCACACTAGTACGCGTATTCGTCAGTACCTAGTATATATACTCGTCGGTACCTAGTCCGCACTAGTACACGTACTCTTTAGTACCTAGTATATGTACTCGTCAGTACCTAGTCCACACTAGTACGCGTATTCGTCAGTACCTAGTCCGCACTAGTACGCGTCCGCGCTACAGTAACAGTATCACCGGGTAGTAGCGGACCTGTGTGCGTCCTCATGTGGTCCCTCACTTCGGCCCTCCTCGCGAACGCCTTCTCGCACACGCCGCACACGTACGGCTTCTCCCGGGAGTGGACGATGCCGTGCACCTCCAGGTTGTGCTGCGTGCCGAACGACTTGTCTGGAACACGGACCGGGTGACGTCATTTGAGGCCAACTACCACTGGCCACATATGACGTCACGTTAAACATGACTTTAATGAATTTTAATATTATCACAATTTACATATTTAACTAGCGACCCGCCCTCGCTTCGCTTCGGAACATTAAATGTTATCTATACTAATATTATAAAGAGGAAAGATTTGTTTGTTTGTTTCGAATAGGCTCCGAAACTACTGGACCAATTTGAAAAATTCTTTTTCCATTAGAAGCCGACATTGTCCCTGATGAACATAGGCTACTTTTTTTTATTATTTTTTTTATTTTATTTTTTTGGTTTCATGTGTGTTTTAATGTTTCCGAAGCGAAGCGAGGGCGGGTCGCTAGTTATTCATAACTGAGTCCCGCGACGTTATGTCCCGTCGTACCGCGGGTGACGCCGCGGGGCGAAGCTAGTCTAAAAAAATTATTTTAGGGTATTATTTAGGCTAAATTAGGTACTAAATTACTTAGGCTGTAAAGCCTAAGTTACTCCTTATATCATCGGCTACCTATCAGTGAAAGTCCCGTCAAAATCGGTGCAGCCGTTCCAGAGATTAGCCGGAACAAACAGACAGACAGACAGACAAAAATTTTTGAAAATGCTATTTTGGTGTATGTACCGTATATATATATTCATATGCATGTAGTACAGACGCTCCAATTTTAATTATATGTATAGATAATTTATAACGCAAATTACGAAAATCAAACTTGAGTTAAGATTGAGTTTCGATTTCATTTTCACCGGTTCAATTACAAATCATCATCATCATCATCATTATCCTGCCCTTCTCCCAGTCACCTAGGGTCTCTGCAACATGTTTTCTCCTTCCATACTCTTCTATCATATACAATTTCTTCGCTCACTCCCCTCTTACTCATATCGTCTTTCACGCAATCCATCCATTTTTTCTTCTTCTATCATTTCGTCTCATCACATGTCCATACCATCCCAAACGCACACTTCCCAGCTTCTCTGTCACAGGTGCCCCTTTCAGACTTCCTCTAACGCAGCGGTCGAGGAACCGGGGGGTAAATTATTCCAAATGGGGTAAAATGAAATTTTAGGGGGTAAAAATGAAACTTTTGTTAGTAAAAAGTATATATTGTGAAGTGAAACTTCTTTAGAATCGTTGTGATTTCAAACTCGATGAAACGAAATGAAACGAAACGAAAAAATAAGTCCATAGAGACACAAACACATAAATAAATGTATAGGATTCAGCCGGCGAGAGAATGAGATAGAACACATTATTTGGAAACACAAAGTTCACGTGATTGACCCAGGTATTTTATTGTAGGACATCATGTGTATTACATTGATAAATTGAATAAAAGATGTTTAAATAAAATTTTTAGTTATTGTTTTCTTTTCAAAATAATCATATGGGCTATAATATGAAAGATGCTAAAAGGAAGCTATTTCGTTTTTTTATCTTTTGTTCTTCGCCATGGGGTAATATCAATTTACACAAAAATATTTTGGGGTGATAATTAAAAAAGTTCCCCGACCGCTGTTCTAACAATATTCATTCCGTATTCTATCCATTCTCGTCACTCCACACATCCATCGCAACATTCGTATCTCTGCTGCATATGCAATCGCCTTTCATCCGCAATTGTGGTCTTAAAAAAGGGCCTTTTTAGCCCATCCTTGAAATCAAAAGGCACTATAGTTTCGTGGCAGTAACGAGCAGACTGTCGTTACGGACCGGGTCGACCATTAAGCAGACAACACTAGCCCACACTACAACCCTCGACCTTGGAGTACACTCACTGCAGACTCCGCACACGAAGTCCTTGACGCTAGAGTGGGTCTTCTCGTGTTGGTTGAGGTTCTGCTGCGTGAAGAAAGACTTCTCGCACTGGCTGCAGCTGAAGGGGCGGGGGCGGTCCTGCGGGGGAGTGGGGTTTGTAGGGACTAAAGTGTGTGACGTCATTTGGGATAACGCTACACTGACCTGACTGATGTGTGGACGAGCTCACAGCCCACCTAGTGTTAAGTGGTTACTGGAGCCCATAGACATCTACAATGTAAATGCGCCAGCCACCTTGAGATATAAGTACTAAGGTCTCAAGTATAGTTACAACGGCTGCCCCGCCCTTCATAAACGAAACCCATTACTGCTTCACGGCAGAAATAGGCAGGGTGGTGGTACCTATCTGTGTGTACTCACAGAGGTCCTACCACCAGTAAATATTAGGCACATATGATGTCATGCATTGCGATCGGCATGCTTAGCTTGAGGTGAAGAATGTTAGATTACACATAACCTACTCTAATAATATATACATTATTACCCGTGTTAGCTGTTGATTGATTAATTCAACTATTAGCATTCAAAGTTATTATCGCATTCGATAAGAAGTAAATGGATTTGCTGTTAAGTGATGAACACTCGAGTACAATAAACATTCTAGAAGATAACGTGACCGAATGCATTCCCAGCCGGGGGGACCGACAACGATTCGGTCCCCTCGCATAGCAGAACTCTGTTCACGAGTGCTCAAGGTGTGTTGTTCGTAACTTTTTACTGGTGGTAGGGCCTCTTGTGAGCCCGCACGGGTAGGTCTTATCACGCTGCCTATTTCTGCCGTGAAGCAGTAATGCGTTTTGGTTTGAAGGGTGGGGCAGCTGTTGTAAGTGTATTTGAGACCTTAGAACTTATATCTCAAGGTGGGTGGCGCATTAACGTAGTAGATGTCTATGGGCTCCATTAACCACTTACCACCAGGTGGGTTGTGAGCTCGTCCACCCATATAAGCAATAAAAAAAAAAAGTAGCTGTATAGTGATCTGGCGCCGCTGTCCAGGGACACACTCACGGAGTGGATCTTGAGGTGCGCCTGCAGCGTGTACTTGGAGGCGAAGGTCTTCCCGCAGCGCGCGCAGCGGTGCGACCCGCCCGCCGCACGCGCCCGCGGCTTCAGGGAGTGCTCGGCTGGAAGGACACGCGGACTTAGTTAATCAACGGGGGGGCCTTAGGGAGGGGGTTTTTTTTTTTTTTTATTGCTTAGATGGATGGACGAGCTCACAGCCCACCTGGTGTTAAGTGGTTACTGGGGCCCATAGACATCTACAACGTAAATGCGCCACCCACCTCGAGATATAAGTTATAAGGTCTCAGTATAGTTACAACGGCTACCCCACCCTTCGAACCGAAACGCATTACTGCTTCACGGCGGAAATAGGCGGGGTGGTGGTACCTACCCGTGCGGACTCACAAGAGGTCCTACCACCAGTGATTACGCAAATTATAATTTTGCGGGTTTNGGTGGTGGTACCTACCCGTGCGGACTCACAAGAGGTCCTACCACCAGTGATTACGCAAATTATAATTTTGCGGGTTTGGTTTTTATTACACGATGTTATTCCTTCACCGTGGAAGTCAATCGTGAACATTTGTTGAGTACGTATTTCATTAGAAAAATTGGTACCCGCCTGCGGGATTCGAACACCGGTGCATCGCTACACACGAATGCACCGGGCGTCTTATCCTTTAGGCCACGACGACTTCAAAATTTCGGTCGGGTTGGGGGATCAACTTTCGACCTCGAATCCAGTGGGTCGTGAGTTTATTCTTTTTGAGATTTATAGAGCAATTTGACGTCCAGGACCGACAGTATCCAATTATTTTCAATTTTAAATAATAAATAATAGACACAATAGTGTGAGGGTGTCATATGAGTCCCCACGGGTAGGTACCGCCACCATTTTTATATCTCCCGCACAGCAACGTCTTTCGGTTTGAAGGGTGCAACTAGTACTCGTGGAGTAAGTCTCAGAGGGGGGCGGCCCCCACCCGCCTGTTTCGGAGGGGGCGACCTCCACCCGCCTATCTCGGAGGGGGGCGGTCCCCACCCGCCTGTCTCGGAGGGGGCGTGGACAGTCACCGAAGTGCGTGGTGTAGTCGATCCTCCTGCGGAACATGGCGGCGCAGAGGCTGCAGATGTAGACGCGGGCGTCGTGCGCGCGCCGCATGTGGCTCATGGCCGCGTTGGGGTCGCTTGTGCTCTCCATTTTTTCATTTTCTGAAAAAAAAACGTGGTTAATTCGAAAAAAATATACACGCAACTGCATTGGACTTTTTGACGGGAACGCGAGGAGTTAAGTTGTGTGATTTATTTTATTTTGTCTATTTAGTGTTTCTTCGGGTTTAAATGGGTAATAACGGTGGTTTACTAATTGTTTAGTATCCGTGAAAGTGCACAAATTTGGGAAAATAAAACAAAGCCGCTGGACGTAACTCCATCCATCCACTCCTCCATAAAGTCCACTGAAAAAGTCTCAGTAAATGACCACTATTTTACTGAGATTATATTTCATCCCATATCATCTCATTTCATTTCATTTCATCTCAGTTGATTAATGTCTCAAATTAATCATCTTCATTTTATTTCGCTCCATATTATCATTTTTCATAATAATAAGAATATACATTAAAATAAGACTTCACCTAAAGGTCTTAGTTACCAGGTCATAAAATCCCTAAAATAAGCGACTGCATCCAAACAGCTCTGTAAGACATAAATGTAACGCATTTATTTGATAAAAAAAAGGGTGCGTGTACTTATGTACGCGCGTAAGAAGTTATACTTTATTTTTATTAAATTTATTTCTTTTTTTTTTATTTCAATTTTAATCAATTTGAAAAAAATATCGATTAAACAACAACCTCAAACACGCATATTGGACATCCCTTTTCTTGACATCGAATAAATTCGGTAATTCTCGGTACGGTTCGGAAAGTTCACCTGCGGCTATATTCAGACTCGCCAAGTTACGTCGGTCGTATTGTAATGAGCGATTTAGTGGACAACTTCAATCTGTTAATTTTGTGTCACGGTGCGCGCGCATCGTAAAATTTCACTCTCATTAATTTTTCATAACGCACCTAAAGAAGTATAACTTCAAAAACTTGTTTAGTTGAAAACATTTGTAGGGGTCATCGGTCCGGGGTCGTGTCCGGGGGGAGTGCGGTACCTGGCTTGTCGCTGTTCCGGCACAGCAGACAGACGAAGAGTCCGTCCCGGTGCGCGATGGTGTCGGCGAGCCCGTCCGCGGCGCCGCGCACCGACTGCACGCGGTACATCTCCCCGCTCTCCACCTTGATGAACGCGCCGCCTGCATCCCAACGACAATCCATACATACCGTTGCATTAGCTGCGAGTCCATAGACAGCTACGAGCCCTCTTCGAAACGTAATAAGGTGAAAGTAATAATTATGTTATATAGGGGAAGATACAGACTAAGCAGCTCAATTAGCAGCTCACTCACTACTCATAAACTGAATCATTCACTCATTCGGTCACTCACTCTAAAACTATACCGTTCTCATTCATTCGCTTACATACCAACTCATTCATTCTTTTACTCAATAACTAAATGTATCATTTAGTCATTCACTCATTCACGGAACCACTCAGATATTCATTCACTTAAATACACACACTGAACCATTCACTCGTCAACTCACAAAACCATTTACTCATTCGTTCACTCACTGATCGAATCACTCAGCCATTCGCTCAGTTACTGGCTTGCTTGGACGCGGAGGACTCACCTTGCTCCCTCGCGGCCGCTATGATGGCGTTGGCGGTCTCCTCGTCCCCGGAGACCTGCAGCTCTATCTGCGACTCCTCGTTGGAATCTGTCGACGGGACAACTGGACACTACACAACCAGGTCACACATATAGTGCATGATGTCCACGGGCTTCGACAGCCACTTAGTAATAAAAAGCCACGGGATCGCCCACCGATATACGCCACGTATACTGGTGGTAGGACGTCTTGTGAGTTCGCGCGTGTAGGTACCACCGCCCTGCCTATTTCTGCCGTGAAGCAGTAATGCGTTTCGGTTTGAAGGGTGGGGCAGCCGTTGTACTGTTAAAAGTGAGACCTTACAACTCATGTCTTAAGGTAGGTGACGGCATTTACGTTGTAGATGTCTGTGGGCTCCAGTAAAACCACTTAACACCAGGTGGGCTGTGAGCTCGTCCACCCATCTATGCAATAAATAAAAAATCCTATCAGATATCATTATTTTGTGTGGAAAGGTCAAACGAAGAGTCCTCAGCGGTAGACGTCTCTGTCATTGCTGATGTCCATGGGCGACGCTCTTCAATCGTCTTCGGATGGACTACACACTAAGCTCTACAAAGGCAACAAGCCAGGGATGCATATATATAGTGATCTGTGACGTCACGGCACCTTGCCCGTCGCGTTCGTCGCGGGCGTCGCCCTCGGGCAGCATCAGGGATATCTCGTTGCCATCGTACATGAACTTCTGGCCGCTCATCATCCTTAGTATGGACGAGTTGTCTCCGTTCAATACGATTGTTTCTGCAGGGACAAATTTTTGTTCTATCAATATATCTGTTACGGTCGATTGGGGGGAATAGAGACTAGAGTTAGAATAGGGACAGCTTTACCGATGGTAGGACCTCTTGTGAGTTCGCGCGGGTAGGTACCACCACCCTGTCTGTTCCTGCCGTGAAGCAGTAATGCGTTTCGGTTTGAAGGGTGGGGCAGCCGTTGTAACTACATATACCGAAACCTTAGACCTTATATCTCAAGGTAGATGGCGCATTTCCGTTGTAGATGTTTATGGGCTCCAGTAACCACTTAACACCAGGTGGGCTGTGAGCACGTCCACCAATCTAAGCAATAAAAAAAAAAGGTTTTGTAACTCATTAAATATATTAAAAAGTTAATTAATTACCTAAAGTTAGGTACTTCTCTGCCTAACAACTAAATAGTGCCAGTCCTATCAAAAAATGTATTGTCCCCATACGTAGCCTGATTTACTCCATAGCCAAGATGAATCGGGTCAAGCCGGTATTTTTCAGTTTTTGTGTATATTTTGTAACGAACTATGTATAACGAATCGTATTTAAAAATTTAAGACTCCGGAACCATTTTAATTTCAATTTTAGACAAGACACTTGGGCCCCGATACAGTAACAACTCACGAGCTTCCTCCTCTTCGTTCCCACTGTCCAGTATCTCGACCTTCCCCACGATGATGTTGTTCCTGTCGCACTCCTCATTGCTGGGGTCCAGAGATTGCAGTATGTCCACGTTCAAGTATTCCTGCTCCGCTGGCTGGCTCGGTATGTTCTGTAAGCAAAGCTCTATTTTCAGTTTCTACACGATAATTGTTTGACAATGTTAATATCGACAACACATTATTGGCTAGAATTGTTTTTGTATGTGTACCGGGAAATACAGATAGAAAAATGCAATGAGTTTTTGGAACGAAGTTCCTTATGGGACGATGCGGAGGGGTACCTTAACCGGGAAAAAAACGTCCGTAACGTAAGATTTTTATTAGTAATGCACACAGTGTACGACTTAACTTTGTTATAACATACAAAAAATAACATATTTTTATTATATATATTTTTATATCATTGTGAATAAAATAAAATTGATAACTTTGTAAAGTAGTTTTTTTATTTTTTTATCAATAAAAAAAAAAGAAACGGACTTTTTGGCGGGAACGCGAGGAGTGAAGTTGTGTGATTTTGTTTATTTAGTGTTTCTTCAGGTTTAAATGTGTAATAACGGTGTATTAATATATGTGAAAGTGCACCAATGTGGGAAAATGAAACAAAGTTGCTGAACGTAACTTCTCGGGATCTTCCAAAAAGTCCATTGAAGAAGTCTCAGTAAATGACTACCATTTTACTGACATTATACTTCATCCCATATCATCTCATTTCATTTCGTTTCATTTCATGCCATGTTTCATAATAATCAAATTCATTTCATTTCATAATATCATATTTCATATAAATAAGTTATCATTAAAATTAAAATAAGACTTGACCTAAAGGTCTTAGTTACCAGGTCGTAAAATACCTTAAAAAAAAAACAATAAAAAAATCATAATAAAAAATGTATACCCGCATAATTATTTTCTTTATAACTCGAATAGAACTTAAAATTAATATTTTTATAATAGGGAACTTCGTTCCTATCCGGTGTCCCACGACACCACACATCTTTTTTTTTGGTGATGATTACATGGCACATCGGGTAATCAAACAAAAATGTTTACACTGACCAGGAATGCAACCCAGACACTGGAGTTCAGTGCTCAGAAATCACTAGAATTCTATTACAATACCTTGAATCCTTGCACTTCAAACACTAGTTTTCCATTAGATGATGGTACCACGGACACAGCAAAATCTGTGGAAACAATTTACATTTATGTATTAACATAATATCGTCTTCTCGCATTAAAACTGTATAATCTCAAAACTTACAATTTTACAAGAGAATGTTTTAAAGGTTTAACATATTGTGATATTTTTAATATTAATCATCTTTGCAACATTGTTATTTTTTTTTTTTACCATTTACATTATCTGTCTTTTAAAGTAAGATAAAATTATGTATTAATTTTGTTAATGGTAGTCAAAACATAGGTAAACTAAAAAAAAACTAAAACTAAACTACGCTCTTTTGACAGTATTCATGAGTAAAATACTGGTGATACCAAATGATTCCGCATATTAACTCAATTTCGAATATTTTTAGAAATTGTACACTTTTAATGCGATAAGACGATATAAGTTTCTTCGGTGAGCAGTGGTTATTGACCGTGACATTACCCTCGTCGATCTCCATGGCGTCCTCGTCAGCGTCATTGGTCTCATCGACATGGGCATCAGCGAGTTCAGCGCTGGTCTCACTCTTGCTGAATATCTCTTTGGTGCCGTCTTTAGTGATCAAATATTTTTTTAGATCGTCTTCGTCTGTCGTTTCCGGTTTCTGCAGGAACTTCGTGAGTGTTGCCAGCACGTCGGGCTTTTCTGGAGCTTCCGGCTGCCTGACTGCCGGTGATGGTAGTGAATTGATCGTTACTTTCGGTAAGCCTGCTTTAAACTGTAACATAAGAACATAAGATACATTAGGACGACGGATATGATTAAAGATATTACAGGGTGCAAAGATGATTTAAAGTAAAAAGAAAAAAATATATTATGCGAATTTAATAATACGGGAACGTGATATTTTTAATACGCTTTTATTAGCTTCAGACGTATGTAACGGAATCTTTGAACATGATTTTGACCCCCTTCAAAACCACGGATTAACTCGAAATTTGGTATACTTATTAAGGACCGATGACAGATCAATATTAAAAAAAATTTAAAAAATTGAAATTCAACTAAAAAGTTGAAAATAAATTTTAATAAATTTGAATTAAAAATAGTGTAAGAAAAAGCACACCACGCTTTTTTTTCAATAAAATCATTTTTTCTTACACTATTTTTAATTCAAATTTTTAAAATTTATTTTCTATTTTTCGTTGGATTTTCTATAAAAGCGTATTTTGTTAGTTTTCTTAAACTATTATTTATTTAATTGAGTTCTTAAGATAAGTACGCAAGCTCACAGCTCACCCGGTGCTTAATGGAGCTTGGTAGAATGAAGGCTAAAATAAGGTATAATGTGAGTGTACCACCAATGATGACGTTATTACCAAAATTGTTAAGAATAAATCCGGGTCGCTTAGCGTTAAATGGATTGTAAGTTGATCTCTCTCATAAAACTCACCTTATCAGTCAATAAATGTGATCTATTCCCAACTTTTAAAAGCTCAACCGATGTTAACGGCCTTAATTTTGATGCTGGCAACACTATCCTTCCGATCTTCGGTGTTGCCGCAACTGGCGTATTAGTTTTAGTTTTAGTGACATCTGTCTCGTACGTAGCATAGTTAATGTTGTGACTTTGAATCGAAGTTTTGAATTGATTTATTAAATCTGCTTTCATTGACTGTAAGCTGTAACAAAAACACATGTTTAGAAATAAGAAAGTCCCTCTGAAGTCTGTTAAAAAGATAACTATTATCTATATATATAAAAAATGAATTGCTATTCGTTAGTCTCGCTAAAACTCGAGAACGGCTGGACCGATTTGGCTAATTTTGGTCATGAATTATTTGTGGAAGTCCAGAGAAGGTTTAAAATGTAGATAAATATGAAAATGATCAGAATTAAATAAAAATAACAATTTTGTATTTCCTTTGATCTGTCTCCTGTTGGACGGATTCCTTTTGTTTGTTTTAAGTTTATTTTATACAAAAGTTTAGGTCTTTTATTTATCGATTTAGGCACAACGAAGTCTGCCGGGTCAGCTAGTCTTATTTAAAGATGTTTGTCGTTTGAGGAGAGACAACGAAAGAGGAGAGGTTTACGTTAGAGGTTATGATAATTTTTAGAAATTGTTCATAATTCCACAAAGTTTTTTATTACTGCTGTTTTTAGAATTGTTTACCTGACCAATTCAGTTGTTAGTGTTGTATTGGACCGAATATATGTAATCTTATTCTTTTAAATACACATGCAGTTTACTGTCAATGCAAAAATCTCATAATCCCAAGCCAACAAATGAGTGAAATAGCTTTCCTTGTATTTGCATTAGATGTGCGAATAAAGTGATGGCAAGTTAAGACAAGTGCAAGCCCATTTTATATTCAAACAATGTTAATGCATATCCTGTATTTATTTGTGTTCACAAAATAAAAGAGTTTAGAGAGCTCATAGAGATTTTTTTAACTAAGGAATCATTGTACTTATAGAGATTTATTTATTACTACAACTATTTTAAAATAGAATATATTTGAAAATGATTGAGAGATTTATTTATTATTACTTTTACTACAACTGTTTTAAAATAGACTATATTTGAAAATGGTTGTACTATGTCAGCAGAATGTCTAAGTCTATTTAGTGAATATGTGTGAATATTAACTGAATCCATCTTACTTAAGAAAGCACAACCAACATTTCAACATGAAGCAAAAATTATGTGTGATGTGTATATGAAATAAGTAAATAAAGAAATTTCAATATTTTACCTGACTTGAGTGAAATCATACTCCGAGCAACTTTTGTAGCACTTCTTGCAAACGATTTGTGAGTGCACAGCATTTTCTTTTAGATCTTTCTCTAAGATTTCACTGACTACTTCGTGTAATTTCTTTCCTGATTTCAATGTGTTCTGTAATTAATTAATTAATTGATTCAGTCCTATATTTCCATAATGGTTATATGAAGTATTTCAGAACGGATACTAAATGTGGCCATATGGAAATATGCTTATTACTGGCGGTAGGACGTCTTGTGAGTCCGCACAGGTAGGTACCACTACCCTACCTATTTCTGCCACGAAGCAGTAATCCGTTTCGATTTAAAAGGTGGGGCAGCCGTTGTAACTATACTGAGACCTTAGAACTCATATCTCAAGGTGGGTGGCGGCATTTATGTTATAAATGTCTATGTCTCTGGTAGCCACTTACCATCAGGTGGGCCGTGAGCTCGTCCAACCAACTATGCAATAAAAAAAAAAAAAATAATAATGATGCAGAGATATGGTCTAAAATAATGGTGTCTCTGTTTTATTAAAATGTGAAAACTAAAACCTAAGTTGGTCATAGTGTTATGATGTTGATCTATTTCTATTATTGCTTAGTTGGCGGAGCGAGCTCAGAGCCTAACTGGTGTTACATAGCTATCGGAGCCCATACACATTAACAACATTATGCAGCTGCCCACCGAGACATAAGACATGAGTTTAAGTCTCAGTTTTACAGTAGAATGGCTGCTACACTGGTCAAGTAAACCGCATTAAAGCTTCACTGCAAAAATAGGCAGAAAAGGGGTACCCACCCATGGATTATTCCTGAAAATTTGCTAAGTACATATTTCTTTAGGAAAATTGGCACCTAACTGGAATTCGAACACCAGCACAGTAGTATCAGTTGATACCAGATATCCTATGCCTTAAGTCTACGGCTCTAATGTCAATGACCATGAAACTGACATAAGCTTATTGATACTTTACTCTGGAATATATTATTGATACTGTACTTATGGAAGGAGGAATATATTGGAACAAAGGATTTTTTTTAAAGGAATTGAAAAAGTTTTAAATAAACATGCAGGCTGAAATCTAATTGTTTCAATTTTCACACCAACAAAATTGATAATGATACTGAAATATAATACACTTTAGCCACATGTTGAACGCTGCTTCAATTATACATTGCTAAAAAGGAAAAGCTAGAAAACTATTAAATTAGGTACGAACTGGTGAATTGTAATGGATACATTGATAGTATGAAATGAAATGTTACATTGATTTAATGTTTGGCATCATATAATCACTTCAAATCGTATTTAGTGAGATACTAGTCAATTAAAAAAATACTATGTTGCAATCGTGCAATGGTATAGTCCTAGTATTATAATATAATAAATAAATGTAAAAGATGATGTTTGTATTGATGTTCCCTCTGAAAAGGCTGGACTGATTTTGATGAAATTTTCAGGATAATGGTAGATTAGCCTGGCAGGTGTTTCTGTAAAGTTTGCCAGCACTAAGACCAAGGTCAAGCAAATATCGGCCAACAAAGCACAGCAGGTTTAACTAGTTATAAATATATATTTACTTACATGTTCCCCAAACAGATTGGTAGCATTCCGTAAAGATATACTGCTTTGACTGTTGCATAAAAAACAACAGCTGCTCATTCTGAAATGCAATATGTATGATTGTTCTTTTTTTTTATTGCTTTGATGGGTGGACGAGCTCACAGCCTACCTGGTGTTAAGTGGCTACTGGAGCCCATAGACATCTACAACGTAAATGCGCCACCCACCTTGAGATATAAGTTCTAAGATCTCAGTATAGTTACAACGGCTGCCCTACCCTTCAAACCGAAACGCATTTCTGATTCACGGCAGAAATAGGCAGGGCGGTGGTACCTACCCGCGCGGACTCACAAGAAGTCCTACCACCAGTAAAAAACCAGATTGTGAAAGCACTTTGTAACACAGAAAGTATTTGGTAACACTGGCTGGTAACTGGTAACAATAGCTAACAGTTTAAATGCAACCATTGCCGATGACAGTCACAAAGTTAGTACATTAATTTTGTTGATGAATCAATTATTTTGATTGTTATTGTTTAATTCAGTTATTTATTAGTTAAATGTTGCAATCTTGATAATGTTAATTTGCAGTAACCCGTGCACCAAAATATTAAATAGGGATTTATTTTAAAATGACTTTGTTTTTTTAAAATACTGTATATGAGTCGACTATTATCAAAGCCGGCAATGTGACTTTTGGATAATTATTGGTAAATCATAAAAACGAATTATTGACTTTGTATTCCATTGGCAGTCACAAAACTCTTCTGAACGACATCTTAGATAAATAACAGGTTAAGTATTAACCTTTATTTAATGCAGGTTTTGAACCGTATTCTTTGAAAGAGATGATTATATTCAAATCAATCTGTATTGAAATATCAATAATTTTTTTTTGTCCAAATGCACAGATTGCCACCTTTGATAATAGTCGACTCATATAGCATACATACTTTTTAGTTTCAATGTATTTTACAAATTGAAAGAAAAATCGTACGTAAGGTAAATATCGGACGCCTGTAGATTAGAATCAGTTTGACGGCGTTTCATAGTTTAAACCTTATTGATAAATTTTATAAACAAATTATGAACAAATAGGTTTGTGTTCCTAATTCTTCTTTCCTTTTCCGGGCCTACTGGAAGAGATTTCAACATGAAATAAGTAGTGCCCTTTTACTCTGTATCCTTATTGTCGTGTTTTTTCTAACAGCTGTGTGTACAAAATATATTAAATAAATAAATAAATATGCGATTTTATAACGTGAAGTTTGTTTGTGTTTTGATTACTTCCAGAAATAGCGTAGTATTTGAAGTAGCATTTATCTAGTGAAAGGGTTCGAGTTATATTATTTATTAATATTAATGTGAGTATTTAGTCGCGTTAGTTAGATGAATGTTGCTGAAGAACAACTTACACAATCATAACATAGGAATGGTATTAATTCATCCATTTTTGGATATGTTTTAAAATTATATAATGGCTTTAATTATTACAATAGTTCATAATAATTCAGACCTTTTAACACTTTTGTTTACAATGTTATCAATTTGACACTTTTCGAAACTGTGTACCACCATACGCAAAATAAAAATCACTTTTCAACAACGAATTGTTTATCAGTTTTATCAATGAAAAATATAATTATGGCGGTGAATATTCACATATACACAGTAATAAATAAGCATTATTTTATAATATTAATATATTAAAGAACTGAGATCAGGTTTACCTTAATTATTTTTTATGCTTCATAAATGTAGATAAGTTTTTTAACAAATTTTGAAGGTTTTCGGCTGATTTTCACAAAATATGTTGTCAGCAATGGGTACGACAAGCAGCCACCATTACGTGTTTGATGATTACAAATCTTCCCGTATGTGGCGCTAGGTGCACGACAATTTTCCGTCTTTTACTTTTCTTTTGTTGAAGAAATAAGACTGTACATGTAGGAATTTTGAACAAACTATTAACTAAAATCAATGTTAAAAGATGGATTGTTAGTTTAATACACCGAAAGTAGTACAAATTTGGTTTCATGCGTACTAAAGTGCATCTGTAATGGCTGTACAATTTCATTACCTTTTGCCTAACATGATCAAAATCGATTTGATAGANTCTTTTACTTTTCTTTTGTTGAAGAAATAAGACTGTACATGTAGGAATTTTGAACAAACTATTAACTAAAATCAATGTTAAAAGATGGATTGTTAGTTTAATACACCGAAAGTAGTACAAATTTGGTTTCATGCGTACTAAAGTGCATCTGTAATGGCTGTACAATTTCATTACCTTTTGCCTAACATGATCAAAATCGATTTGATAGAAATGGCGGGAATTACGATTTAAAGTTTAGTAAAAAGGCAGTTTTTAAAATATTTTAGTGTACAGAAAGCGCATTTCAAACCGTAAATACTGAATAAATTGAATAGGTATGTATATTTTTTTAAATTTAGGTTTTCGTTGAGGTGCTTATTGTTTTTGTGCGTGTTTATGTACGATTTTACAGATTTATTAATTTATCGTTGATTGGCAATAGCCGTGTACGGTGCTGCACTTTGTAGCGCGTAAATAATGCAATACACCGGCGCAGTATCAGAACGATTTAGATTATAGTATTATTTTAATTTACTTACATATTTCATTACGGAAGTTATACAACGTTGAAAGATTTGGCAGGCTTCGGATTATTTGCGTTGTATAGTACAAAACGTCTATGGAGAGATCCTTCTGGAGCGCGTCAGTTAATTAAGGAGTGAGTACGGATGTCTAACTAATAAGCGCTCGAAATTAAATCTTATGGGAAGTTTGCTTACGTTTGCCGCTAGGGGCGCTGTTTCAACTGCATATTTTGAGTTAAGTGGGTGGACGAGCTCCCGGTCATCATTCTCGCTGAACCCGTCGCTTGCGATGAAAGTCTCTACGAGTAATTTAACCCACAGACACAGCCCACTGAGTTTCTCACCGGATCTTCTCAGTGGGTCACGTTTCCGAACCAGAGGTAGATTCTGCGAAGCACGACTCTTGCTAGGGTTCGTGTTAGCAACGTCGTCAGGTTTGAGCCCCGTGAGCTCACCTACTAGTTAAGGTTACGCTGAAATAACCTCTCAAAGTTATCAGCTTAGGTAGGATAAAAAAGGTAGGACGAACTCACGGCCCACCCAATGTAAATGCCGCCACTTACGTACTTACGTTGAGATATGAGTTCTAAGGTATCAGTTTTTACAGTACAACGGCTACCCCCACCCTTCAAACCGAAACGCACTACTGCTTGACGGCAAAAATAGACAGGGCGGTAGTACCTACCCGTGCGGACTCACAAGACGTCCTACCACCAGTAATTACGCAAATAAAAAAATGTCGCGTTTGATTTTTATTACACCATGTTATTCCTTAACCGTATAAGCCACTCGTGAACATTTGTTAAGTAAGTATTTCATTAGAATATTAAAGTCGTGCGTTCAGCTGGCGAGTATTAACTATGCAAAAAAGTTTGTATTATTAACCCTTTGACTGTCGTGTAGGTTACTGGTGCTCAACGCGGCGCACTGAAGTAATTATGTCGATATCGGTTACTAAGCGTCTGGATTGCTCAGCTTTGCCTTCTTTTGTTAACCGACTTCAAAAAAGGAGGACGTTCTCAACTCGACTCTTTTTTTTTTATGTTTGTTACTTCATAACTTTTGACTGGATGTATCGATTTTGATGATTCTTTTTTATTAGAAAGCTGATCCGAAAGCTACCCGTGTGGTCCCATTTCAATTTAGTCCAGTTCTGATAAAGGTATCCATGAGAAAACTATATAATTCTTAAATTTGCATTAAGTACGTGCGCGACAAATAGATGAATATCTCAATAACTCAATATCACGCTAACCGATTTCTATGATTATTGTTTTTAGTGTATTGTATTTGTTTTTGGAATATCTTTTTTTTTTCTATTGGACTCGTTTTTTGTTAAAGCATGTCTATTTACAATTATTTTTAATGTATCATTTAGTCTTTTAGGCCTCTTGGAAATAAATCCATACTCGGTATCTTTAGATTCGTCTTTCCCAGAGTCTACTAGATATTCCAGCGCCTTAGAAGATCGTTGAGAGAAATCGACATAATTACTTCAGTGCGCCTCGTAGGTCACCGGTGACCTACAGTAGGCGTGCGAGTTCACGTCCATCCTGAGGAATGCGGTAGTGCTGTGACCTAGTTAATTATGGCACTTTTTTTTTTATTGCCCTTGTAGGCAGACGAGCATACGGCCCACCTGATGGTGAGTGGTTACCGTCGCCCATGGACTTCAGCAATACCAGGGGCAGAGCCAAGCCGCTGCCTACCGCTTAATACTCTCCACAAGCCTCGTTTGAAGAAGGACATGTCATAGCGCTCGGGAAACACCGTGGAGGGGAGCTCATTCCATAGCCGGATGGTACGTGGCAAAAANCAGACGAGCATACGGCCCACCTGATGGTGAGTGGTTACCGTCGCCCATGGACTTCAGCAATACCAGGGGCAGAGCCAAGCCGCTGCCTACCGCTTAATACTCTCCACAAGCCTCGTTTGAAGAAGGACATGTCATAGCGCTCGGGAAACACCGTGGAGGGGAGCTCATTCCATAGCCGGATGGTACGTGGCAAAAAAGATCTCTGGAAAGGCACTGTGGATGACCGCAGTGGCTCCAGGTAGTCTGGATGAACTCTGCTCCGGTGGCGGGCGGTGCGATGGTAAAAACGAGATGCCGGTATCATCTCGAACAATTAATTCCTCAGAGCACTCCCCAAGGAACATACGGTACAAAATACAGAGGGAACCGAAGTCTCTCCGCAGACCCAGAGGTTCCAAACGATCGATGTGTCGATCTTAATGTCGATAATAAGTTAATTACTACCGATTTAGTCAACAGCTTTCAATTTGCAAATTCGCCCATACAGTACACGGCAGTTAACGTGTTTAATAAAACCAAGGGACGAAATAAAACCATACAAACCGACAGTCGAAAACATTGTTTATTTCTATACAATTTACATTCTTTTTGCGTTTCAAGTGCAGCTTCCTAGTACATAATTTACAATTAAAATTAATAAAAACATAATGGAGATTAAACTATTTACAACCTCCCTTAATCTTTACAATTATATTAATAATTAATTTGTTTTTTTTTTTTTTAATAATTCGTGCATATTATCTGTGCCTTAGTCGTGAAAAAAAGTATTGAGCAAGTTTCTTTAATGGCACTTAGTAATTACTTTGCTTGCGTTTAATAATTAAAATGTTTACTTTCATTAATTTTGTATTCTGAAGCCTTTTAATTGCAGTTATTGTGAACATGAGTAGATCTGTTTCTTTTAAACAAACCAAAAATGTCTATAGTGCGAAAGAGACAACAAATCGGTTAGCTTTTTTAATGCATGATAAATGCTCCATTCATTGTAAATGTCGATTGTGATATTAAAAAAAAAAGTAGAAATGCTCCTTTCACGTGTAAAGTATAATCGTGAACGTTTGCTATAAAAAAGGTCGTGTGTGGGATAGTTGTGTACAGTCGACGACAAAAGTGTTACAAATTTTAATATAAATCTCTTTAGTTTTTAATATTCTTTTTACATTAAGTAACACGTTTACCGTCATGTGTTTTGAAATGAAAGAATATTTGTTGTGTTGACACGTATTTAATGTTTACAATGTAACTACAACTAGTTACTCGTGTCTAATTAAGAGAAAAAAAAATTACATTATCTTATTATGAAATACGCGAGAGTGCCATTTCTTGTGTTATTCTTGTGAAGCGTCGTCATTTTTGTTTGATGTATGTGACGACACATCGAATAAAAAAAGTGACCTCAAATTAATTCGAAACTTTCTCATTCATTCCAAAACGGCAATTGTTTTGAAATGTTGCCAGTTCTTGGACATTTTCTTTACACAAATATGTCACTTTCCTTCCCGATGTGCGATACATAAAAAAAAACAATACAATCAAAGGGTTCTGTGTCAAATTGTCACGTCATCACAACTGGATACTAGATTCTCCTTTAAAATAATTTTAATACTTTCTCATATACATTCGACCCGCCATTTTCACTTTTAACAAGAAAAACAATAACGCTAACACGACATCAAATCCTAACGCCTAAAAAGTTTATGATACATTAAAGTGTTTTTTTTTTCTCAATCCAAAATATCTCTAGACAAAAAGATATGCATCTAGTTTTTTTTTTTTAAAGATTTACTTTAATGACAACACCAATTTAATTCAGCTATTTAGAGATCTATGTTTGTTTGTTTATTTTTTTAGTCTGTAATACTGTTTATATAGATTTGACACGCGATTTGTCGTCAGGGCCACGACGAGAACATCAGGTTTTCTCTATTCTGAATGTATTTTGAAATCTTTTTATTTGTATTTAGATCCGATTTNGAAAAACAATAACGCTAACACGACATCAAATCCTAACGCCTAAAAAGTTTATGATACATTAAAGTGTTTTTTTTTTCTCAATCCAAAATATCTCTAGACAAAAAGATATGCATCTAGTTTTTTTTTTTTTAAAGATTTACTTTAATGACAACACCAATTTAATTCAGCTATTTAGAGATCTATGTTTGTTTGTTTATTTATTTTTTGTCTGTAATACTGTTTATATAGATTTGACACGCAATTTGTCGTCAGGGTCACGACGAGAACATCAGGTTTTCTCTATTCTGAATGTATTTTGAAATATTTTTATTTGTATTTAGATCCGATTTCCCAACCATATAATAGGATTTTCAAACATTTACTGATATCATTAGTCATATTGTAACTGAATGAGAAATGGTGTGTGCTGGTCGACTGAAACATCGGGAAATACTAACATTTGCGATCAAAATTCATTACGTAAAATTGATAATTTACCAAATGAACCAAGTCAAAAGTTATTTACGATTGATGTAATCACATAAACAGCACCACAGACGAGAACACGACACACAGCACAAAAGTCTAATCTAAAAATAGAACGAAAAAAAAAAAAATTTTCAAGATAGCACATCCCTGGTGTTTCGTTACTCAGCCGGGAATCCTTAGTCTAATCTTTTAAGAAGATAAAAACAGAAGACAAAAGAAAAAACATTTACGAGGCTACCAGTTTTTTTTCTTTTTTTTTAGAAAATCCGTTTTACCGCGCTCCTCTCAATACTAATCAAATATAATTGACATTCCAACGACACTTACTATTTATACTAATACAGTGCTAAACTATTCGCTTACAGATAGTTCTCGTATGGTACGGCGGGGCGATACGAAACTAAGAGACAATCGACGATTGGTTTAACAAAAAAACAAAAAACAAAAAAAACACGAGACTTGTGCAAAAATAAATAAAGAAACGTGCGCAAACCGAAACGCATTCCGCATTAAAAATAAAAAAGGGTGCGTGTACTTATGTACGCGCGTAAGTTATACTTTGTTTTTACTAAAAAAAAAATTTTTTTTTTAAATGTTAAATAATTAATAATAAATATTTAACGTTTAAAAAATTAATGCTAATAACACTTTTTTTACTAGTGTACATGCGCGAAAGTTCACCTGCGGCTATATTCAGACTCGCCAAGTTACGTCGGTCGTATTGTACTGAGCGATTTAGTGGGCAACTTCATTCTGTTAATTTTGTGTCACGGTGCGCGCGCATCGTAAAATTTCACTCTCATCAATTTTTCATAACGCGCCTAAAGAAGTATAACTTCAAAATTCATAAATAGAGATACAACATTTTTTTAAATTTATTTTTCTGTAAATTTTATACTCTGTATGTATCGCCGAATAGAGCAAAATCACCCTCTTGTATAGTCTTATAAGTTTAAAGCGACAGGCAAACGATTTGAAAGCAATCGTTCTGCAACAACGCGAGGGTTGCCAGCCGCGAGAAAGCGTCAACACGCGACATTTTTTTCTCCGTATGTCGTGTCCGATTGCGAAGTGTTACCAGAAACTGAATCACCAAGGCAATGCTCAAAGAAACTATCGTGTGCTCGACAGGCCGATTACCGATAAATCAATAAAAAATAAAAAAAAACATTTGTATTTTGCTCCCGCCCTCCTACGAATACAAAAACAACTGAACTTTGAAAATGGTTTTCGTACTAATTATTTTAAAAAGAAAAGCTTTAAACTAAATCTAATAAATTACACAAATTAAATTGGGAATAACTTCTTATCCAATAAAGCTAAGTCATAAAACAAAATGCTCAATGCACTCAACGGAGCGAAGCTCCAAAAAAAAGTTTATAGATACATAAATGAAAAAAAACACAAAAGAAAAAAAAAAATGAAAATAAAATAAATGGAAATGTAATATGTGTAATTAAGAAATATAATATGATAACATGTTATTTTGTGTCTAAATAATTACAACATAGACAAAAGAAACTAACTGTTAATGTCTTTATAAGAGTGATCTAGATCACAAAATTCTAAAAATAAGGAATTATTATAGATTTTGCCTTTGCGGTTTTTTTTTTAAAACACTTTTTTCTGCTGGAAAGTTTTGAATCTGTAATTCTATGCACAGGCAAATCTCCCCTCCCCCCTCCCCCTGAAACTCGTAGTGGTCAGTGTGTGTGTGTTGCCTTCCGTCTTGATATGTGTGAGTTTGTGTTCTGCGCCGCTTCTCCGTTTAACTAAAAGCAAATAGTACTATGTGAGTTCTCATGTATATCAAAATGTTCAATTTTGACTTTAATGTTCGTAAATTACGTGAACCTAACTTGGTTGTTACGTCGTTTTGAACTTTTTTACGATAAATTAGTACCGGCATGAAGTCGACAATTAGTTGGTGGAATGAAACGATTATTTATAAAGTTACGAATGAATCGATGATCGACTTAAAAGACCAATGTTGCCATAGTTGAATTCTTATTACAAACAAAGGCTACTCAATTAGTGAAAACATTCACATGAACTTTAAAATAATTCTTTAGATTTATTTTAGAGTCAAAATTGAACGATTTTAGTTAGGTAACGGGTGTTTTGAGCGAATGAAAAATTAAAATGAAACAAAAACTAAAAGAAAATAGTATCAAATACAAGAACGCTACGTAAAACTGTGTCTCAGGCGAATTTTATAAATTTGTATAATATTTATTTTATGTCGGTCACATATAATATTATTTTTAAAACTTTACATTATTAACAAACATATCTTTAGCCTAAAATTAATTATTTGTCATTCTGATATGTAAATTACAAGCATTTATAATTGATTTTATATTACAATAATTCTTGGGTTTATGAATCTTCTCCATGAAAGATAAAAAAGGGTGCTCTGGATAAAACCCCACTGAACACTATTTCTACCAAAGACGTCAAAGGACATCTTTAAAATTTATCTCTATTGAAGTTCTGACTTCTCGTCTATTAATTAACTGTTAAATTGATTTAGTGATACTACTTTTCCGCTAGTTCTTCCTGGATCTAAAATATAAGTACTTTATTTGCAGTCAACTGTAGATGTATTAAACAAAGTCCCTTTGGTCGAAATGGTAGACACGAAATTATGGTAGAAATAGTGTTGATATAACATATTTCAAGGAAGTTTGTTTATATTTAAAAAAAAACCCTTTAATTTGACATTTTATGAAAAACACAACATTCACCCTTTGTCTAACATTATTGACATATTACCCCAAATATTTTAACTGACAACACCAAAAGACAATAACTCGAAGTACAACAGCCCCTAAACGATGATCAGACACAACTCCTTCGACTATATTACAATTAATCCTAAGCCTATTTAAAGTACAAATCTATTATTCTTTATAAATATAAAGCTTAAAAAGCATATTTCGATTACTGTACAACACACACCACAAATATATTGGGGAGTTGTATCTGAATTTCATACATAGAGGGATTGTGAGATAAATAAGTTTGTAGATGCAACCAGAGAAAACATAAATAATTTATGACCTCAAAACAGGTTGAATTTCTCAAAGCAAAATGCTAGTCGTTTTTTTATAGATTGTATTTGATATAATTGGACATGGTAAGGTTAATTTGTATAAAGGAAGGCCTTTAATGTATGAACAAATATGAGATTTAAAAGATGAGACATTAGTTGTTACAATACCTGTGATTGGAATATCGTAAGAACTCTATTTCATCTCCATAAAAATAAAAAAAGTTATATAAAATTAACTGAAAGTAGATTTTAAAACTAAATTGTTATAAAGTTAGACGCCTCTCAGTCTGTTGAATTATCTGATAACTGTTTTGCAACGTTGCATCTACAAAAACTGCTTGTTTGGTAAACTGTAGCTTCTGTAGTATTTTTATGTAAATTTTTTAATTGTCTCTCCCATCATAAAGATATGTCAATTCTCATCTACGATTCACATCACACAACTGTTTTGGGCGATTTAAAATAAAGATGTATCTCACATTTTATTTACAATACATATTATATACTTCTTATTACATTCATAAATATTTATAAAAATTTAAACTTTGGCTAGTGTTCTTGGCGAAAATTTTGAATTGGTGAAGGAACGAAATAATCTTCTATTAAATCTAAGAGTTTTCGACTTTAAAACTTTCCTAAATATATTAGTAAAAATAAAATAATACAATGTATGAATAATTCTTCACAATTTTCTAAAATCTTTAATTTAAAATGTTTTTTTATATGTATAAAAAAAAATCTTTCCTCTCTATTAAATATTTTTCTCTTAAAAAGCGCTTTACTCAAAGACTAGAAAACTTTATTACTTCAAAATATCGTATCTAAAATCTACCGTAATGCAACATCCTATTTTTCTTTTTCTATAAACATAGAGCTTTCCGTTGCTGTAGATTTAAATGTAAAGATTGTCTATGGTCCCGGAAAAAAATGATTCTCTAAACGTCAAACTAATGAAGGGGTGGGTGGTCAACGGAAAAAACAATTAGAAATTTAAAATTAGAACGATTCAAATGATGAATTTTAAAACTTATGCTCCTTCTAAAAGCACGATATTCAAATTTTAGGCCGTTACTAGTTACGGATCAGAACAGATAACAAGGCTATTTTTGTGTATTCCAAACTATTTAAATGTATTTACAAAATCTTTCACAACAGTTTAGTGCAATTACGATTTAACTAGGACATACATAATAATAATATTAATTCATTTATCGATCGATACAAGAAAAACAAACCTACTTAGCAAAATTTACAATACCTAATTACAATGTGTAAATAAAATAAACAAATGTATCAACGGACAACTATATTCATATCTACAAATATATATTATTATGTATATATATATTTTATTCCATATAATGATAACATTCATTAAGCAGGTAACATTACATCTTTGGCTTAACTATATAAAATAAACAGCACTGCGTTTTTTACTAGCAACACTGCCAATATGTCGACCGTGGACGTTATTCTCCTAACAGACTGCGCGTTTGGTGTGACCAATAAACCATTTACAATAATATGTCGTGTCATTACAATATTATAGAACACGTCATGAAACAAATCCCTTGAACAATTTAAAAAAAAAATTACACACTGTTTTATGTTCAAGCGAAATTGTACTTTTGACCTTTGAGATTAGACGCTTTTCGGGATACGCGCAGTTCTGTTTCGAAAAACACACTCCGTCGACTCGATATAAAACTTGTCAATACCGACATTGGTCCGACATCCCATACGAGTTTAATATACATGTCTTTTATTTATAAACCACATCGAGATCAGACAGAACGGTGCAGAAGGAACTTGCAAACGGAATGGATACTTCATCAATCACAGAGTGTTACGGTGAAGCAATGTGATGCGTTAATTCTCACAGCTGCAGAATAATTCCGTACATAAATATATCTGGTAGCGGAAAGTTTAGACTACCCTACTACTAGCAACAGCAGTCGTTATAGAGTTGATCATTTTGTAAGTGCACCTGAGAAATTTCATAAATCTTTCGTGATTCACCCTATATAGAGCGTGTTGGTCGTATTATTAATTTATATAAATTCAAACGCAAGCTACTTGTGAGTATTTAAGGAATACCACTTTTATAACCGCCACACGCTACACTTCACTTTGTTACGTACTCTCTCTCTCTCTCTTACTTTCTCTCTTTGACCTCTTATTTTACTATCAACGAGTCTATATCTTTTGCATTCAACCAAACATTAATCTCCTTCTCTACCGTTCTGTCAGTTAACTTCATTACATTTTACTTTACAGAAGAAAATAACAAAAAAAAAACATTTAAAAATAAAACGAACGTTCTCTTACTAGTATTCGTGCTCGACCATTCCATTGTTCTGGGCTTGCCGCTGATTCTGGTTCTGATTCTGATCAGGCTTCAGACCCTTGCCTTGTCCGATTTGTCGGGACGAGGAGAAACACAGTTTCATGACGAACGGGAATTTCGCACCTGAAATTACGTTCGTAAGATTATTATTCAATTATAGCAGCGGTCGGGGAACCGGGGTAAATTACCCCAAATGGGGTAAAATGAAATTTTGGGGGTTAAAAATGAAACTTCAGCGGTCGGGGAACCGGGGTAAATTACCTCAAATGGGGTAAAATGAAATTTTGGGGGGTAAAAATGATTTTTTTGTGAGTAAAAAGTATATATTGAAGTGAAAATATAAATTAAAGTATATATTTTATTATTTTTTTTTTTTTTTTAGAATAGTAAAATTTTTACTTATTGTTTTCTTTTCAAAATTATCATGGGGCTATAATAATATGAAAGATGCTAAAAAGAAGCGATTGCATTTTTTTTTTGTTTTTCGCTATGGGGTTAATATCAACTTGCACAAAACTATTTTGAGGTAATAATTAAAAAAGTTCCCCGACCGCTGAATTATAGCATAAGTCACGACCGCCACTACACACAGGTCACACCTGCCGATCGCGACCGCCCTACGAGAAGCTGAGGACCCAACGAGGAGGAAACAGCTCACGAGCCAGACCACGGTCAAGTTTCAAGGATTCACGGACCTTCAGTAATGAAGAAAGCGACGAAAAAGAAGATAGGTATTTTCATATTGCAAATTCACATCTAAATCATGTATCCATTCACAAGAGCATCACGACACGGTTAGTAAAGCATCTTCCCGCACGGGTACGCACTAATATTCCGCATCTTTCTGCGTAATGTAATTGAAAATGGAAAAATAGCAATGCGTTCCAATTTTTTTGTATTGCCCTTGTAGACAGACGATCATACGGCCCACCTAATGGTGAATAGTTACCGTCACCCATGGACTTCAGCAATGCCGCAAGCAGAGCCAAGCTGCTGCCTATTGTTAAGTACTTTCCACGAGCCTCGTTTGAAGGACATGTCATAATAGCGCTCGGGAAACACCGTGGGAAGGGAGCTCATTCCAAAGCCAAATGGTACGTGGAGTCTAGGCTTAGAATCCAGGCTTAGAGACCATATCATAAGCTGGATGATGGCTTATTGAGTCGTAATTTTGATATTAATTTAATTCATCTTGTTTTAACATCAAACTATCGTACACATAAAAATATTAGCCGTTAATACTAGTGACAGCCAACCGGAAGCACTGTCCTCGAATAGGAAGTACGTTGTGTACATTTTATTACCGGATCCTGAGAATGAAATAAAAGAGTTAAATAATAAGAAACAATCGTACCAGGGTGCTGTATGGTCGCATGATTACACGCCATGATCGCCATGACAGACTGCGAAATGTTCTGAAACTCCATCAGTCCTGATGATGATCTGTAAATAAATTTAATATAATATTATTAATGTCATCAATGTAAAATATAAATCACTTAACACGATTATGGAAGATTTTATAAATGTTTATTTTTTTCTTCACATTTTTTATATTTTTCAAAGTAAACAACGGTAGCAATGAAATCGAGTAAACAATCTGACCATTATTTATCATTAAGCATGAATAATAGGAAAGAAAGCCGGTTCCATTAGGATTTGATAAAACGCATACGCCACATCTTTTAAGACCAAGTCCTACCAAAACCACCAATCAGTAGATATTTGAAAGTATTTATTCATAAGTAATTAATTATGTTATTAGATAGATAGCTTTGATATCGACGAGTTAGCATTACACCCACCTCTCACTTTTGAGCGGAAATTTGGAGATAGTATGGGGCGGCGTCACTCCGTAGTCCTTGAACACTTGCAGCAGCTGTTCGTCAGACACGTCTGGGGGCGTGTTGAAGAAATGCAACACCTGGAAAACAAACACACACACAATTATTAAAGATTCTAAACAAATTTCGGCTTTCCTAAATACACTTTTCTTACTTTTAATAACGTGCTTCTTACCTTAGAGGGTGGTTGTATTCTGTTCTTGTGTATAGAGGCCGGCGTTAAGAAGCGATTATTCTTGTTACCCACGTAATCTTTGAACGAAGGACTCTTGTCGGGAAGCGGATACGGGTTCATCACTTCTGACAGGTACGCTTGTTTTGAGAAACTGAAAATTGTAATAGTTAAAAATGTATTATCATTTTACAGATTTCATTACTATGGTATCATCTCGATATAATATAATATATTCAAATATCACATGAGAGATTAAATTTAATATTAGAATTGAAGAGTCCTAGATCTTTTAATTTATTCTGACGGCTGACGGCTCCATTCTGAATGTTGAATAATTTAAGATCTTCTTTATTGTTGACTTAAAAACCCATTTAACACCAAGTGAAAAATAACCACAAAGTGAAAGTCACCCCTTGAGACAAGAGATTCAAGTATCACTTGCATTATACAAAAACTGTTCCACCTTCCATATGGGTTGGCAAGGTTGGTTTGCAGGACTAATCGGTAGGTTATTAGATGAGCGTGAACAAAATCCTCCACTACCATCATTACCGCAAATGTAGACTATGGTTCGTTATGAACTCTATTTCTATGTTCTCATGAAATATATTTTTCATGTTTCATGATTTTGATGGAAAACCAAAGCATTAGAGGCACACAAATAAAAATATCCACCCTAGGCTTGATTTTAATGCTTCATTAAATCATGTTTTAACCCAATTTATACTTTTAAAATTTTAATTACCGATATGTTTCTAAAGATCATAACAATGCGTTTTATTTTGAATCGTAGTGGATTTCATAAATCGAAACATACAAAAATCTACTAATCTAAAATATATTTTAACCTAGTACATGAGTAGTATAAATATTCGATACTCACGCCAAAGTCAAAGTGTAATCTCCGACGGTGACATTGTTCAGGTTCTGGACGCAACGTTCGACCGAAACACCATCGCCCATTTGAACCATGGCTGTACCTTCCTTTGTTTTCAAGAATTTTATCTGAAATCAAATTTTTCTTAGCCTTTATCAGCATCCTCACTTAGAGCAGTTTGCACACAAAGCCATAGAGTTAAAATCACATTAACCACTGTCATATTCTTCAAGACGCAAAGCCATTATGGCTTCGTGGCAAACGCAACACGACTGTAACAACCCATGCGTGCTTAAAAATCATCATTTTAGTGAGAATCGTAGTTAATGAGACATTATTTTTAAATGATGATGATAAAATAATATTTCTGAAAAATCCGTCAAATATCAAATTCACTCTAAATCAAGATGATTTCTTAAGGCTTTCGTAAACTTACCCGCACAACATTACCATACAGGCAGCACAGATTGAAAAGTCTATCCGAGTTCGCAGTCTGAGGATCAAGTCCGTACACCATCATGACCGCTCCCTGCTGTGGCGGTCCGCCCTGTGGACAATAAATTACATTTGTAAACATTTACCAGCCGAAGCTAGGAATCTCTTATGTATTCCGCGAGCAAGACCGAAGGAAACATCCAGGTTTGAATACCAAACGTCTTGAACAAAGATATGGAAACGTTAAAAGAAAACTTCCTTTCTTAAGGTTAGTGCAGTAAAACATATTATAAAGCTAATGAAGACACAGCAGGATATGGGAATGAGGTGCTCACTCCAAATCGTTTTATTCCATTTTTAATTCGTATTTTTTAATTTAAAATTGTTAAATAGTTTTGAAAGGAAAAGAAAACGAAATGAGTAATAGTCATAATTAAAAAAGTTAAGTTGGATCAGTTTGTTTCGACAGTTCTCAGGACTAGCTTTTTTAGAACACGTTGATGAGTTAAGTTGAAAAAAAAAGACATTTGAATTTGAATTAGAAGTCGGTTCCGAATCCCGTAAACAAAAAAAAACGAGGGAGAAATCCCAGTCAATAACCACAATACCAAGAAGACAATATTAGTCGTCCTCAATTGCTTGAACAATTTTAGTTGTAATCCTTATATCGCAGTATATTTACAAACCCGATCCTGTAGACTGAATGGTAAACAGTCGACGTCGCCCTAAACACGTCATTACGGATCCTCCTGATCCATTAACGGTGCTTTTAGGATCCACAAGCACCGGTCACCGTCCTCGTCGAACCCATCGCTTGCGATGAGGGGCTCGACGAGTGAACTAACCCATAGACACAGCCCACTGTGTTTCCCGCCGGATATTCTCAGTGGGTCGCGTTTTCGATCCGATGGTAGATTTTGTGAAGCACTGCTCTTGCTAGAGCCAGTTAACGTTAGCAACAATTCAGGTTTGAGCCCCGCGAGCTCACCTACACGTTAAGGTGAAGCTGAAATAGCCTCTGAAGGCTATCAGCATAGGTAAAGTACATATATTTAAGATATAATGTACCAATTTCTAATTCTAATTTTAAAATAAACGAACGTCTTTAAGAAGAAATAAAGAGAACGTCAGAAAATTCCGTCAGGTCGGGTAGTTTTAATAAAATTTATTGTAATATCTTTACCTGGTTTTGTGGTGCCATCGACGGGTGATGCATCGGGGGTGGCGGAACGAAACCCTCGCCGCCGTAGCCTTCGGGCCCGTAACCGCGACCGTCACGCTGGAAATTCGTAATAAATTTTACTTAAAATAAATCGGAATAAAGCCCTACCGTACATAAGAAACCGCAAAACCATTAAAATCGAAAAGATTAGTGCATATTTTTTAAATTATTATTATTTATTTGTTGGGTTCACACAACTGGATAAAATCTAGATTTTAAAATTTAACTTAATTAGAAAAAAAAGAGTATACTTTTGAATTCACCCTTTCGGGGAAGAAAATTTTCAAACAGGATGAATTAATCTGTACAAATATTCACACGTAAAGGTTAATAGGTACGCCATGGGAAGTCCCGCGGCATTACCAGCACCCACCCGCTCGATGGGACGATATTCCCTTACATGAAATTAACAGGCCACTTTTTAACGCTTATCGCCTCGTAAAGTATGATGAAAAAAAAAGATATTAAATATAATTTAGTTAATGATTTAATAACGTTAATGACGTTGATGACATTAGCTAAAGTATGCCGCTAGTTCAAATCAACATTGCGCCTTTGACGGGTAGTGTAATAAGAAGGAGACAAACAAGATCATCATCATCATTCTCCTGTCCTTCTCCCAGTCACCTGGGGTCGGCGCAACATGTTTTCTCCTTCCATACTCCTCTATCATATACAATTTCTTCGCTCACTCCCCTCTTACACATATCGGCTTTCACGCAATTCATCCATTTTTTCTTAGGTCTACCTCTTCGTCTAAAGCCTTCCACATCCATAGTTAAAACTCTCTCACCAACCTCATTATCATTTCGTCTCATCACATGTCCATACCATCCCAGAAGGAGACAAGATCATCATCTAAAAAAAATCCTTAGATTCCTGCAGTAACAGCTCAACATGCAGTATTGCAGATTATGGATGAGCTTGTATCGCTGCCATTTACGTTAACAACCATAATGATTACTCACAGGGTGATGTGGCGGCGGCGGCCCATGTCGTTCCTTCATCATCCCCGGAGGTGGAGGCCCACCGCTTCCATAGTCCATATCTATAATAAAAGTAAAACACTTTGAAAACTAAGTGACTTCACTAGCGTTACAAACGAATTAATGTGTGGCACATGTAAAATTAACTGGAAAATTAAACTATCAGACCTATAGGTATCACGGGTACAAGAGATACAATCCCCAATTGCGTTCCTTAATGAGATTAATCTAAAGATAGTAACGTGACACTAGCAATATTTTTTAACTTGACAAAAGCTTCGGTGATTCATCCTGAAGTCTTGTGTTAGGCCAGGGAACTGTTTTAGCTTTAAATTAAGGTTTAGTGCTTCAATATTGTGTTTGGTTTTCATTTAAGTACAGTGGTGTATTTATTATTATTTATAATTAGGTTTCTAATTACAGTCCTTATAAAAAGTAAACATTATGTATCAGAAAAATGAAACGAAAAGGAGTCACAAATAAAACGCGTCAAAAAACTTTATCAAACTGTCTTGATGTTATTTTTTGTTTTTTGAGAGACTGACTCTTGGTGTAGCTGAAATATAACATTTCTGTATCAACAATGTATTCAAATTGAAGAGTAACTGCACAGGAAAAAGGCTTCAGTATTCAGAAAAAAATGGTAATTACCAAATAATGTTTATAATTTATAATAATTTGCTATAATTAAGGAAAAATTTTTCGACAATTAAAATCATCCAATAAATTAATTTTAGATTATTTCTTATATTTTACATCAAACTACACCGCTGGTTTCTGTAAAAAAATCTGCATTCTTATTTTGGGTTGGCTAACGTCCTATAGCTTGGGACATCTGGCACGTGTCTTAGCTGGTAGATTACTTCAACGCAGTGTTTATCAACTTCGATTACTAATTAACATAAAAATGGCAGTACTAGACAAATAACTGATGATTAAATAACTTCACGTTGTTTTGAACATTCGAAAGAAAAAAACCGAGTTATGAAAAAAAAATATTGTAAACAGGTCTGCGATAAATGTGTCGGTGTTACAAATTACACAGGAAAAATCTTCCCTCGTGCAAGTTTTATTCCAAGAGTCATGATCTGCAAGTTTTCGTGTTAAAAATTTGTACGTAACCAACTACTACTGTATTCAAAGATTTATTTTATGGCGTTGAAATGTCACTACAAATCATAATGTATACTATATCTATATGAGAACTAAACTTACATTAACAAATAAATAATATTCATTCAATATTCAAGATCTAAACACAGAAAGTTCTTCATGCATACACAGAGGAAGTTACGAATAGGTCACGCTCAAATGAAAGGCCCGGGTTCGTGTCAATTGATTTTATTGTGTCAATGACTTAACATACTAATGTGAAAGCTAAACTTATACAAATATATTATACTTAAATAAGAGAGTGTAAATAAAAATAATTCATGAAATATGGAGTGTCGTGATGCTAAGATATTTAGTGAGGGAAAAATTAAGTGTAGTGAACAAATGTATTTATTCTATTTGTCATTAATATCTAATATTAAGGTAAACAATTTTAAATGTATTAGATTAGAGACGGTTATTGTATTTACATATGAATCAACGAATTTATATTCTTTGTACGCACTTAATAAATTATTATTTAATGATGTAATAAAAGTGGCACTAAAAATAAGGAAACATTGATTGGGGTATTTTTTATTAGATTCCTTTGCATTTGAACACACTATATTTAAAATGAACTGTAGTAACTGGAAGAAAAATTAAAGAACATCTAAACAAATTTATAGAATTATCGTATGAAATAATTAGATGAAAATAAATATCATTGGTTCGCGATCCCTAAACTTTTTAACTTAAACTAAATTTGAAACATAACAAATAGGTATCGTGTTATAACTATTGTGGTAAAATATTGTTCTAATATTTCTTCATTCTGCTGTTGTTCTTTATCTCTGTTCTATGTTAACAATGATCGTGTGTGAAAGTAGATATTTTATTTTATGGGGTTAAGTCATCTGCTAATATCATGCTGTCGTCTATGTAAGCAAAACACACACATTATCTCACCATGGGCATTCTCAAGGGTCAAAGGATATTAAAACACACGTTCCAATATTCATCGAATACAATACACACCATTGTGGGTTTGTTCGCACGAGTGCTGGCTGTGTTGACTGCACGAATCTTCACTGCAGCATCTGGTGGTAGCCTGGGATGGTGTCGAGTTTGGATCTGTCGATTTTGCAACATTCCTTTCAATTATTCTCGTGTTCTTTGTCTTTTCCTTGTGTTTTGTTTGTAGTCAAATAAGTATGTGATTTGTATTATGTTCATAGTTATGTATCATGTTTCGGTGAAAAACTGACATTTGTTTTCCTTAATATTCAAATCCGAATACTATGGAATTTGCATCCCTGTTGATATTTCCTTGTGTGTGAATTTTCTTCTACTAAAGATGGTTCTATTCAATATTTCTCAACTGACCAAATTTCCTAAATCTCAATCAGGTCCTCACAAGCCCCTTCAAAAATTTTCTAAAACCACTCCCAAAAATATCTTTAATATTCAATTTTCCATGCTCCAATTTATTACATTCATATTTACATCATCGATATGCACTTTAGTCGAAAACACATAGCAGAAATCCATTATAGCAATCTATAAAGATTACACAGACGGGGATACACGGTTAATTGTTTAAAAGCATACCTTCCGGTGCGTAATGAACGTTAAAAATAAACAGACGCGCCCGTGTATTGATGACCTAGATGATCAAATGAAATATGGCTGATTGGTTTCGTAAATGACATAAGTCAAAGTAGCTTTTTGTCTATCTATTTACCAGTAGCAACGGAGGGCTGTCCTGGCTTAGCTTAGTATGGCGGGAGGGATTAGCTGAGTGAATTTTGCTAACATCTGTCCAAGCAAATACAGTGTTTCACTAAATCTACCACCGGTTCGATCCACTGAGAAGATCCTGCGAGAAACTCAGTGGGTTGCGTCCGTGGGTTAGTTAAGTTGGTTGTCAAACTTATGTATGAAAACGATGTCCGGTGCTTGGAATACTTTAATACACCGAGAGTGGATCGTGAAAATTTGAAATGAAATGTCTGGTGAAATGACGGCTGTTTGTTGTCCTCCTGTCTCGTTAGAGTGTGTAGCTTGTAAAATAGAATACTTCATTTCATTTGGCTATCAAATTACGCCAACGAAAAGTGCACATAAAACATATTCAAATTTCCGTACTTTATTTTTATAACCTTGATTAAAGCATTTTGAAAAATTTACTTATGTATTTCAGGCATTCCTCACTTCCCTCCCTTCCCTTTTTCCTCGTCATAAATACCGAACACATATGCGATTCGAGTTTCAGATGACTACTTCTCGCACCTCTCAAATGGCACTCCAATTTGATGGACGTTAAAAAAAAAAATTAAAACTCAAAGCTCAGTTTTTATCCCGCACCTGCTTGTGTAACAATTTAAAATGCATGAAGCGCTTCCGCGTTGGCCTTTTTTCAAAAGCTCCCCCAGCAAACACTCTACCGTTATGGGAGTAGCGATGCGAGCGAAAAATATTCACGTTTATTATCATTTTTGATTCACTGGTTACGCCGCTTTTAAATACTACCAGATGATGACCGAGCTTGGCTTGGCTTTTTTTTATGACGCCATCTTGTTGTGTCTTTAAAGCAGTAAAAATAGTATTATTATTCGCCAGTAGATGTCGGGAAGAGTCATAAAGTTGATTATCGATAAAGTTGATTATTGAAAACACGAATAAAACAACATTTTCTGAAAATAAATCGTAGCCAGATCGATTTATCGCCCCCGTAATCCCCTGTATACTAAATATTATGAAAATCGTTAGAGCCGTTTCCGAGATTCAGATTATATATATATATATATATATACAATCTATATTATATATACAAGAATTGCTCGTTTAAAGGTATAAGATACGTATTCGTAGCTACTAGTCATTTCAAAGAGGAATTAAGTAATTTTATTAATCATAGTATATTATTGTATTTAAAATTTATGATAGCGCGTGGCTAGTATGAATAGTTTTTGAATACGACAGCGCACAGTATAATATGTGACATCTCTTCTACATTACATAAAGCCTTAACCAGAGTACCTAAGGTCACCAATTTTTGGGAAAATCTTTCTAGAGTATCCCAGAAGTGGGTTTAGGGGCGGATCATGTGCGATTCATTACATAATTTATTTATTTTATTCGACTTCTGGATTAAAGGTTTGTTTGTATATTAGATTAGTTCCAAAGGAATCAACAGCAAGATATTCTTAGTTAATAAAATAGAGGTGGAAATTGTATTTAATTTGTTTTAGTTCCGTAAATAACTTACATAATTTCATTAAAAAGAGATTAATTATATATAAATATACTAAAATCAATGATATAATAATTTCAACGTACAATTCTCTGTTCTTTTTTTTTCTTTCAAAATAGCCACAATCAAAATCGCGGAAGCACCTGAATATTTCATTGTCCGATAGTGATTGTCGACGGACAACTTAATTTAGACCGGCCGGTACAACCCAAGGACGTCGATAAAAAGACAAGAAACCTACCCTGAAAATTTTATTAATACCTAATGCTCTGTCTCTTTTCTTCGGAAGGCGAAAAATATAGTTCCGTCTCATCATTACACGTGCCACATTCGTTCTAGTCAACGAACTTATGAATTATTTAAAATGCCAACTTGATACTCCTAGTAGTTACAGTGTACTGTAGTTTTATACAGGGCTGCCAATCCTTACATGTAATTACTTTTATATGATTTTTTTTAAAACTTATTTTAACAAATAATTATTAGTTGATACGCGCGTTTATAAGTAGTACTCGCTAGATGTCGTTATTGGTGTTCAGAATCGCGCTATGCCTAATTTCTAGGGTTTAATCCCTATTAATATATAAATGTGAATGTAAGTTTGTTTGTTACGCCACTTCGATAAAGCGGCACGACACGAGAACCCTCTCATCGTGGCCGCCGGTAACTACATTCCCGATCCTGCGGACAGAATGGAAAGTAGTCGACGTCGCCCAAAACACGTCATCTCGGATCCTCCCGATCCACTAACGGTGCTTTTAGGTACTTCAAGCACCGGTCACCGTTCTCGTCGAACCCGTCGCTTGCGACGAAGGGCTCGACGAGTAAATTAACCCTCAGACACAGCCCACTGAGTTTCTCGCCGGATCTTCTCAGTGGGTCGCGTTTCCGATTCGGTGGTAGATTCTGCGAAGCACGGCTCTTGCTAGGGTTTGTGTTAGCAACGTCATCAGGTTTGAGCCCCGTGAGCTCACCTACTAGCCACGGTTACGCTGAAATAGCCTCTCAAGGCTATCAGCTTAGGTAGGAAAAAAAAAAAGTTTGTTACGCTTTCACGCGAAAACTACTCAACCGATCATCATGAAACTTTGTACATATATTCTTGGAGGTATTAGAAGTAACATAGGATACTTTTTATTAAGAAAAAAAAAGTACTATTTACGAAATATAAAAAAAATATTCGTCAAAAAATCTCAAAATCTAGCTTCTTCAACGCCACCTACCGGTTCAGTAATGAAATTCCGATCCTGAGTACTGTAAATGAAGTCGCGGGTAAAATTTAGCGTTATGCCAAAGTAACTATTCCACGCGGACGAAGTCGCGGGCAAAAACTAGTTTAAAAATACAGTTCTAATCGACCGACTTCGGCCGAGATCGCGGACACATCTAATATTTAAATACTTCAGGAACGAAATAATCATAGAACATATGACCGACTATTGAATTATTACTGATGGTAGGACCTCTTATGAGTCCGCGCGGGTAGGTACTACTACCCTGCCTATTTCTGCCGTGAAGCAGTAATGCGTTTCGGTTTGAAGGGTGGGGCAGCCGTTGTAACTATACTTGAGACCTTAGAACTTATATCTCAAGGTGGGTGACGTATTTGCGTCGTAGATGTCTATGGGCTCCAGTAACCAGTTAACGCCAGGTGGGCCACCCATCTCGTCACACCCCACTCGTCCACCCATCTAAGCAATAAAAATAAATAAGCATACAACAACAAAAATACTACTGTGAATGAGCAGCCCTAAATAAAAGCATCTATGTATTAAAATGATCTACATATTATTATACTGTATACTGTAGCAACCCTAGGTGCCTTGTCATTCAGACTTGAGTTACAATATACTCGGTTCATTCCGCGATGGGATTTCATAGCGTGCACACATATTCAACGCGACCCACTTTCTTATTCAACGCTCTTCGCATTCAACGCAGCCCTTTTTAAACGCCCGTTTATTATTTTCGAATGACATTTCTTAAAAGGATTTTTTTTCTAGTAACGCATCAACTATCATCCTACGTTTAAGAAACTATTTCAATAAAAATTGCTTAGTAAAATTTTTATTAAGCAAATCAACCTTTTGAAATTTATGAATTCCATGTATGTATTATCAATTAACATAAGTTTTTTTTTTCATTGCTCTGCATTTTTTCTTGTAATGATACAAAAATAATTGTAAAGTAAAAATAAAATACGTATAAGGAAAATACGGACATGTTTAATACATTTTTCGGTTTTTGGATAGACCTAATTATGACTATATAGTTTTATTGCCAGATCTCAAGATTCAATGAATTCCTGCTGATTGAAATGAAACATACCAATCGAAAGAAATATAAAAAGGGTAGTTACAACAATATTTAAATGGCAAAGAATAATAATAGCCACTAATCGCTCGACCACATAAACTGTCATTTCTTCGAAACATCTGAAATAATGTACCTAATGACAATAAAAAAAAAGCTAGATTGAACCATAAAATCTAAATATTAATACATGAAGCAAAAACTTTGTATCCCTTTTTACGAAAATTGCGCGGACGGAGGAGTATGAAAATTTCCACACTTATAAAGAATATAGAGAAGAAGTGCACAATGCTAATATTTTTTTAAAATAATGTATAAAAGATACATTAAATCAATAAAGAAAACATAACGGCCGTCTGGTGTAGTGGTAAGTGACATGGTCACTACACAAGGGGGTCGCGGGTTCGAATCCCGCCAAGAGAAGATATTTGTATGATAAATATAAAAATGTCTTTTCCAGGGTTATGGATGTATATTAAATATATCGACGCTTGAAAGGCAAACGTGACTAAACGACAATAACTACTTTGTACATAAATGATAGGCAATAACCATATTCGATGCG